TCGTCAGCCAGTCCTCTCGATCTACTCACTCTTGTACCCGGAACGTCTGCTGGATCCTCTGCTTTGCTCTTACTAGGTCACTGCCATGGCGGGAGCGTCAGCAGGACTCTAGCACTGCTCCAGCAGGTACTTTCCTTAGTGTCCACGTTCTCCACTTCTTCTTTTCTTTCCTTTATCACTCTTCCTCTTTCTCCGACACTTGTCTGGCCTGGCTGGGTCATCCCACCCAGCCCCTCCACCTGTACTACCAACCAACTACGCCAAAATACGAGTGCAAAGCTCTGTCGTGGTTGCCACGTGTTCTGCCTCTCGTCTCCTCTGCTTCCCCTATTCTTGTCAAATCCGGATTACGCTATGCGAACGGTTCCTGAGACGGAACGGTCTCCGTTGACTTGTCAAGATCTTGTTTTTTTTCCCTCGGTTTCTTGCTCAGCCACTTTTGTCGGTTCTTCCATCAGCCCAACAAAGACATCCACCTTCTCTCATTCGTGATTTCCTCCCGTAGGCACTCTTCTCCTTATGCCTTCATACTTGTAGTGTTTCTCGCCTTGTCTTTGCCAGCCATGACCAATTTAGCAGAGCATACTCCTTTGTCTCTGTCATCGTGCGTGCATCCTCAAATAAAGTTTGTGCATCCTCTCCTCTAGTAACTGTGCAACTTCCCCAGAACAAATATCTCTCAGTCCCTCGCCCAAACACTCCTCTACTGGGCTCTACCATCTGTGACAATGAGTACCTATATAACATGGCTCATTATTTGGTGTGACTCGTTCATCCGTTATCCAGTCTGGTGGCCCATCTACTTTCTCCTCTTCTTCCTGTGGTGTTACCTTCTCCAGGATGTTTTCTCTTCTGTCACGCCCCGTGTGTATTCGCCCGGTCTATGAAACTTGGTCAACCTATGAGAATGCACCAACTTGGTCTTGTGTTTCCCCCCTTGGCAGATCAGTACATCCATCTCATTCAGTACCTCTACTACTATGTAAGGTCCTCCCCAGTCGCTCTGTAACTTGGGTGACAGCCCTTTCTTCCTTCTTGGGTTATGCAGCCAAAACCTGTTTCCCCGGTCATGCCGTCTTTTTATTGCTTCACCTACCAACTTATGCTTCTTTCATTGTTCTCCTCAAATACCGGACGAATGCTGGGCTATGTTCAGATATCCATCTCAATCAGTTTGGTTTTCACTGCAGTGCTTATTCCACCATTTCACACACCCTGTCCTTGAGGATGCAGAGCTGATGTGCGACTCTTATGGATACCTAACAAGTTACTGTTCTTACTGAAGACCCTGCCCTCAAACTGAAAGGCAAAAACGAGTCCAAACCTAGTTTACTAACGCTTTTGCTACTGTCTTCATTTCATGGTTGGGCAGCCACAAACAACCACAAACTGATTCCCCCTAGGTGTAGTAGGAAATGAGCCAATAACGTCTACTCCTCATCGAACCACTGGTCTCTCAGTATGGTATATCTGTAATGGATCTCTCTCTCTCTTAGAGGAGTCTTTCTTTGCACCCCCAGCACCATGCGGCTACATCTTTTCCCATACCAATTCAAGAAAACCACCCCCACACCTGCAATTTCTTGAGTGTCCTTTTCATCAATACCACCAATACCATCTTAGGGCTTCCTCAAGCTTTCCTTGAGGTACTATAGGTGCCTAGTTCCTCGAGCAACTATTACTTGTCACCCAGCTCCTTTGCAACATGCCACCCTCATTCAGGCGTAAACTGTTCCAAATATGCCAATATACCCTAGGCGATTCACCTTTTCCCTGCACAAGATCCCAAGTAGGTCTTTTTCGACTTGCATCCATCCATTCTATTACAGGATGGAGTTACTATCCTGCTGCTGACATTTTGCCCACTCGTCCATAGGTTTGTCATCCATTCCTCTCACAGTATCACCCTACACACCTTCGTTGTCTTCTTGATTTGGGTTGATTGTACCAATATTACTTTCACTTCCTCGGCCAGTTTCCACTGGATCACAACTGATGCATTGGCTACACTCCATCTCACAAGGGCGCCTGCTTAAGCTAATGAGTATTACCATGGACTCGTCCTGCACGATGTTCAATACGGTAGTTATATTGATCAAGCTTACCGAGCCATCTTGCATGTTGTGCACATGAATGTAGTTGGTGAATTGCAAAGTGCCATTGACATCCCCTGATACAGCCAGAGCATCTAATGTGTCCTCCATAAGGGGTAAGGAGTAGGAATCCTTTATGATTATTCTGAGTATGTAGGCAACACAACACCTGTATGACACATCCTTCCTTTTCACAAGCACAATTGCTGCCGACTGAGGACTGTTAGACTACTCAATCTTCCCTTGGTCTACCATCTGACCATCTTTTTTCTACGTGCTGGAGCAATCCTCCTGGGAGACTGTCTTATGGGTGTGGTATCTCCTGTGTTAATGCAATGCTGAACTAAACTCATGCATCCCATGTAGTCACTGTTGTCTCTCAACAACTTCGTCAACACTTCCTTCTTGTCCTTGGTCAAATTCTTTTCACTTCACTCCATCACATCTATTAAGTGGTCCCAGACTCTGCTTTCTTTCTTTCCTTATTCCTCCCCTTGTTCATCTCCCTTAACTTTCATTTTGCATATTCCCACCGCCATTTTCGTCTCACTAGGCTGAGACACCACTCCACTTCTTCACACTCACCCAGCGACACACCAGCTTGCACTAACTCTTCGGTGGGGTTGGCCATTAGCACCATTACCTTACTGTCTGCTCCTGACACTGAACTCCTTCCCACAGTCCCTCACACAGGCCATACATATACATTCAAAGGTTTCAACCAAGCCATAAAGTCCCACCGACTTCTAAATTAGCCTGCGGGCTACCTCCCGACCCAGCTCAATTCATACATCCTCCTGTGAAATAACATATATACCTGGAGGAACAAAGGGAAACTTCTCCTGGTAGCCGTAGGCCGTTTGTCACCACCACATCACTGCCAACTTTAGCCAAGAAGTCGAGCCCAAGTAGGGACTACTCTGTTAGATCTGCTACTAGCTCAAAGAACTCTATTTCGAGTTCACTGGACCCCACAATGGGCTGAGCTCCCCTGTAGGACCACGTAAGTGATTAGGATGTTTTGGCAATTCCTTCTTGAAGAGTCCCTTCGTCACAAATGTCCTCTAGGTACCTGTGCCCACCACCCATTTCACACTGTTTCCGTCAATACTCCATTGCACTGTCACCACCATC